TGGCCGGGAGCAGCCACTGCACTCCAGTCTGGGCGACAGAGTGAGACGCCAACTCAAAAACAAAAGTACTGTTTTGTGTCCTGACTTAACATACGTGTTATTGTTGTATATGTCAGAGATGTACCATATGTTTTCCGTTCATCCCACTCTGCCCTCCTCCCTAGGAAGATCTTTGCCTTTGACCTGGATGCCAAGCGGCTGGCATCTATGGCCACTCTGCTGGCCCGGGCTGGAGTCTCCTGCTGTGAACTAGCGGAGAAGGACTTCCTGGCAGTCTCACCCTCAGACCCGCGTTATCGACAGGTGCACTACATCCTGCTGGATCCTTCTTGTAGTGGCTCTGGTGAGATGGGGAGAAAGCGTGGCTGAGGCCCCTGCACGTCCAGAGCAGCCTAGAGCTGATGTATCCATTTTGGGCTTAGTTCTGACTCATTAATGCTGGGAACCTGGGCAAAAGTTCTCATCTATGAAGTGAGAATTTTCGTGCAAAACAGTCTGTCATGCTATATAACTAAAACATTACTTTCTTTAGGTATGCTGACCAGACAGCTGGAAGAGCCCTGGGCAGACACACCTAGCAAGGAACGCTTGCATGCCCTGGCAGGGTTCCAGCAGCGAGCTCTGTGCCACGCTCTCTCTTTCCCCTCCTTGCAGCGCCTTGTCTATTCCACTTGTTCCCTTTGCCAAGAAGAGAATGAAGATGTGGTCCGAGAGGTCCTGCAGCAGAACCCAGGGGCCTTCAGGTAATGGGCATCTGCCAGGGTCTTGAGGGGGAACTGAACTGCTCACTCGTGCCTAGAATCCGTGCTACTTCTTGTAGGCTCGCTCCTGTCCTGCCCACCTGGCCCCACCGAGGCCTTGGCACGTTCCCAGGTGCCGAGCACTGCCTCCGGGCGTCCCCCGAGACCACGCTCACCGGTGGCTTCTTCATTGCTGTCATTGAACGGGTGGAAGCACCGAGGTGAGTGGAGGCCCGCTTGGAAGAGGCTGGATGATTGGGGCGCATCTAATTCTATTTCTTCGTCTAGCTCAGCCACTCAGGCCAAAGCATTGACACCAGAACTTCTACCCAGCCCGGCCCCAAAGAGAAAGAGACGGCGAAAAGCAGCAGCTGGTGCTAGCACACTGCCTCGCATGCAGCAAGCAAGTGCTCAGTAACTAAGGTGCCCAAGGCTTCGACTCCTTCCTGGCAGGAAATGAAAACGCCGGTCTGCCTTTCTGAAGATGACCTTGGCTCCCACACCCAGGCAGCAATTTGGGTTTTGAGAGGTTATTTCTTACTGCCGTAGGTTAGCTGGTAATTATGTTTCTCCAGCTGGAAAGAGTGGATTTCCTAGTTGTTTGGGTCCCTTTCCTGGACTGTGTTCTTGCTGGTGAGAAGTGCTGGCCACAGAAATAAAATGCAGAACATACTTTATGACAGGTCACAGTTTTTTAATTCTGAATGACATGAGCAGGAGGAAAAAGTCTCACATTCATACTAAAAATTCCAACTAGACTCAACAAGAATCAAGTCTTTATTTGTAAGGGAAAGTCCCAGCCTCCCGCTCCTGTCCAGTGCACGTGCTGCACACACACACCCCCACACGCGCGCCACACCAGGCCACCCTCCTCCAGGGGCTCCTGGGCCGACCGTCCTGCCTGCGGAACTGAGGTACGCTGGCTCAGAACACAACCGCCAAGAGGGTCTACCTCACATAAGGTATCGGCAGAAGCTTGATTCCTAGGTCTGGGCCCCACCCCCACCCTCCAATCCTACAGGTTTTGGGACTTGAGGTTCGGTTCCTTCCTCAGCTGCACACAGATAGGTATTCAAACATCGGACTCCAGAGCTATCCTTGGGGATGGGGCGCAGCAGTCCCCCAGCACAAAACATTCAGCCTCAGTCACGTGGGTAGGGGACCAGTTACACCTACATCACATTTTTATAAAAGAAGAATTACGTTGTATCTAACACATCCAGAAGGAGCTCCGGTCCCTCGGGAGAGCTGCCTGGGACAGCATTTGAGCCTCTTCTTCACACAGGCATAACTTAACTATACAGCTAATACCTAGTAAATAGCGTTTATACTTAACCACCTCAATGAACCAAGCTTGAAGGAATTTAAAAGGCAATTTAGCTTAAATACAAAAATAAATTTTTATTTTGTTAAAAAATGTTTAAATATTTTTTTCTTTTAATTTAGACACACGCATTCATACTTCTCCCAAAGAGGAGGGCATGGCAGCAAGGCTCCTGGGCCTGGGGCGTGTGGTTTTGAAACAAAGGCAAAGAGGGGACGGGGTGAAAAGGGCCCTAGAAAATAGCCAGGATTCTTAAAGTATGGTTCTTTAATTTGGGTTTCCTAACACAGATGGGTAATCTAGCTCCAGGGAGATCGGGGAAGTGGGAGAGAAACCGCAGAGGGAAGAGGTCTTTGCTTCCCCAGCCCCATCCTCCTGGGCTGCCAGCCCTTAAAGTCAAAACACCATTTGAAAATTCAGGAGTCAGCACTTGTAGCCGTAAAGTGGTGCTACTTTCCACATTCAATTAGCTAGGCCCCAGAAAACTTGAAACAGGTAAGTCCGGCACTACCAACATGCCGCCACTCATACAATTCAATTCTTCCTCCAAACTCGATTCAAAGAGCAATAGACGTGAGCATCAGACAAAGTAACACAGGACAGGGCTTGAAACACACAATCCCGGAGAGGCAAAGGCCCATTGAGGCCAATGGGTAGGTGGGTGAGGAGGCAGCTGAAGCAGCGGTGGGCATCCTGCCTGCTCCAAGAGCTTCTCCCTCCTGGAGCGAGGTATCTCACCCCTGGCTCTGCCAGGCTAACAGTCTTGAGCCACCAAGCTTTTAGGGGCCAAACTGGCAGGGTTGGAGATGAAACACTGACTCAGACTTGGCAGGAGGAAAACAACAGGAGCAGCACCCACTGGGGTCTCCAAGGCAAAGCTAGGTCCAAGATCATTTAAAAAGGAGTAAGTCCTGCAAGGAACCAGTGAGGGACAAAGCAGCAAGAAATGGGAAACAGCCCCCTAAGGGGACCAGAGGAAGAGAACCACTTCTTATAGCCAAGCAAGGTAAAGCTGTAAGCCAAGTCCGTTTCCCCCAATCCCGTCAGATGCACACCAGAGATGCGAGCCGGCTGCCACTTATGCCCGCCAGCAAAGATGGCTCCGAGGGGAGGGGAAGGGAGGCTGCCTGACTGCAGTTAGACACTAAGCAAGAGTCAGGGGAGTGGACAATATGTACAGATGTTTAGTTCTCCAGCCTCACCCGGGACTGTTCAAGTAAAGGCGTCAGGCTCCGGCCCTGCCACGCTCCCTGAGGCTTGTGCTTCCTCCAGAAGGGAAAGGGCTTCAGGGCTGCCACTACCCCCTGGTGGCTGATGCCAGAGATCTGGGGTAGGTTTGCTTTATGTAACTTGAAGGGTCAAAGGCTCTTCCTAGCAGGTGCCGATGTCCAGATTTGGGCAGGGGGTGGGGAAAACGGGAAAGGGACAAAGGCTATTTTTTGCGGGTATGCTGCCTTCGGGCCTGCAGTCGCTGTCGAGCCCCTGGGGTCTTGGATCCCGCACCAATGGAAAACGAAGGGGCCGTCGATCCTGGAAAGATTCAACAAGATCTCATCAGAGCAGCTGCTACCTGAGAGAACATCTCTGGGTGCCCTATTCTACGGAAAACCAGGTCAGGAACAGGACACTACGTACTACAACAGGACTTCCCAAGCTGCATCAGAAGCACTGTATGAGAGAAGCCTAGTAAAAGAATGCAACATCTGGCCGCAATGGCTCATGCCTGTAATCCTAGCTAGCACCTTAGGAGGCTGGGGCAGGAGAATCACTTGAGGCCAGGAGTTTGAGACCAGCCTGGCAGCACAGCAAGACCCCATCTCTATAAAAAAGAAAAGCAAAATTGCAGAGAAAGCCTGAGATTGAGGTCCACAGACATGTTTTCACCTGGCTTCCCAAGTGATATGTGAACTTTCCCAAGAGGGCTGTGCTCTGATCTCCACCATCCAATGCCCAAGCCCAACACAACTTTCCCATGCTGAGCCTTGGAGGGCCAGGAAACGGCCACTCCACCCCAGTTCCTCAGGGAGGAGACAGAAGTCCTGCTTGCAAGAGAGACACACGCTGCTTACCGAAAGGTCCAACGCCAACAAAGCCTTGGGCAGGTGTGGAGGATGCCCCGAAGGAGAGGCTGCTGCCTGATGTGCCCACTGACAGGGCAGGGGTGTTCTGGCCGAAGGTGGGAGTGGAGGTGCCTAGAATGAAGACAGCAGAGAGCTTCAGAGACCAGGCCAGGGAGCAGGTGGCACTGAGGCAGGCAAGGGACGTTTCCCATAAGACACCTTAGCCACCAGACTACTCCCCCATAAGGAACCGTGAAAGAGAATTACATCTTAACACCTGATGCTCCATGAGCCCACCCCCTCCCAGCCTACTAACAGCCATGCTACAGCGGAGAAAAAACCTTCATTGCTGCCTTCTGGTCACCTAGGGGCTGGGCCGAGGAGTTCCCTTGGCCACCACTGCAGATGGAAAGACTCTGGACTCCCACCTCCTAGCTTAACCAGACTGCCTACCTCCTATAAAGACGAATCTCATCACGACTCTTCTCTCTGGTCACCTGCCCCTGCCCCCCTGCAGAGGCCTGATTCTTCCACCCAGCTTGGCACCACTTCACCCCGCTAATCTTCCCATGCTGCCCTCTGGAACGTACCGTCATCAGCAAACTCCCTTCCCTGGCCCTGCCCTCCCTTAGTCGAGCTGTCTTCTACCAACACCTTGTCTAGTTCTGCAGCACTTCCTGAACCTCATCAAGGCCTCTGGTGCACCGCACTTCCTGCCATCGTGCTTGAAGGTACAGGGGTCAGGTTTTATCTGCTATCTTATTTTAGGCCTACACCTCAACAACTGAATGTTGCTGGGAAAAAACATAGTGCTGAGTTGGCATCACTTTATTTATATATTTTTTGAGTTGGAGTCTCACTCTGTCACCCAGACTGGAGTGCAGTGGCCGCTC